CCTGCCCGCCTCTCCCTGTCCGCCCTTCCCGCCCTGCCCACCTAGCCTGCCTGCCTGCCATGCCTGCCTGCCTGTCATGCCTGCCTGCCTGCCATGCCTGCCTTGCCTGTCGGCCATACCCATTGGTCCACGCCAATCAGCCTATCTCTCATAGAATGCAGCAAACCATCACGTGTGCGAAAACAGCATGAGAGGGCTGGGAGGTTTGCAGGGAGAAGGAACTTCACCACATAAGCATGCATCACACTTTTCCCTGTCCCATCCTCCTACCACCCTCTCCCCATGGCAGGCGGCGGCGTTCTGGAAGTGTGTGCGGTCGTCAGAGGCAGCAGATGGCGGGGAGAGCGAGGAGGCAGTGGATGACATGAGTGCGCTGGCGGCAGCGGGGTGCCTGAGGGCCATGGGCACGGTGCTCGAGCCCATCCCTTACTCCCCTTCCTCCCTTTCTCTCTCCTTGTCGTACCATCTCCCACTGGCAGGCGGCGGCGTTCTGGAAGTGTGTGCGGTCGTCAGAGGCAGCAGAGGGAGGAGAGAGCGAGGAGGCGGTGGATGACATGAGTGCGCTGGCGGCAGCGGGGTGTCTGAGGGCCGTGGGCACGGTGCTCGAGTCCATCTCCTCGCTGCCGCACCTCTTCCCGCAGCTGGAGCCCACGCTGCTGCCCATCCTGCACAAGATGCTCACGTCTGAGGGCCAAGGTGGGTGAAGAGGCTCTTGTGCGATTGCCAAGGTGCGTCAAGAGGCCCTTGTGCGATTGCCAAGGTGCGTCAAGAGGCTCTTGTGCGATTGCCAAGGTGGGTGAAGAGGCTCTTGTGCGATTACCTATGGTGGGCTGAGCTGGGGGTATGTCTGGGAGGGTTGTTACCTATGGTGGGCTGGTTTTGGAGCTGGGAGTGCGTTTGCTGTGCATGAACGGGGGTATGTGACATTTTGAGGCGCCTTGCCATAGCACAGCGCAGAGTGCGTTGCTGAGATGGCATGGTGGCGGGTTCGGAAGGGTTTAGTGACAGCAATGGGCACCGTCTCATTGTCTCCCTCTCCTTCCATTCATTGTGTGGCGTGGTATGGCATGGGGCACATTGCAATTATGGCGTCACATTGCAATCATGGCATGGCATGGCATGTGGCAGACCTGTACGAGGAGGTGTTGGAGATAGCCACCTACATGACGTACTACAGCCCGTCCATCTCGCCCGCCCTCTGGTCCATCTGGCCGCTCATCCTCTCCTCCCTCAACGAATTCGCCATCGACTTCTTTGAGTGTACGGCCCCACCCTGCTCCCTGCTCTATGCCACCTGCTCTATGCTCCCTGCTCTATGCCACCTGCTCTATGCGACCTGCTCTATGCGACCTGCTCTATGCGACCTGCTCTATGCCGCCTGCTCTATGCCACCTGCTCTATGCGAGCTGCTCTATGCGACCTGCTCTTGCCCTGCTCCCTGCTTCCGCCCTTTCTCCTGCATCAAACCTACCCCCTCACCCCATGTCCTACCCTCATCCTTTTCCCGCCACGCCCCATTGTGCCGTCCTACTCCCCGTGTGTCCCCTCCCTTCAGACGCGTTGGACCCTCTTGACAACTTCATCTCACGCGGCACGGAGCACTTCCTCACGTGCCCCGACCCCAACTACCCCGACTCGCTCTGGAAGCTGCTCTCCAAGGTAAACCTCTCTCTTTTGGTCCGTGGGCATGCAGAGAGCATGGTGTGTCAGTGCACATAGAGAGTAGGATGTGGCAGGGCAGAGGGCATTTGGCACAAGGTCAATCACATGCAGCACGCTGTGAGCGATAGTGCACAAATTGGTGCGCTTGCACTGCCCAAATTCACAGTGCTCCCCCATTCTTTGGTCAGTTTCACTCACCCACCACTTTATCCTGACTCTCCCTTCCCTTGCCCCCGCAGTTGTTGAGTGCCGATGACATCAGCAATCGGGACGTGGTACCAGTACCCAAGCTGATGGAGGTGCTGCTGCTCAACTGCCGCCCATGACACGCACACAGCCCTCTCTTTGCCCTAGACTCACCGCAGTATCACCCTCTGCCTTCTCTTCCCTTGCCCCCGCAGCTTTTGAGTGATGACGACATCAGCGATCGGGACGTGGTGCCAGCACCCAAGCTGATGGAGGTGGTGCTGCTCAACTGCCGTGGGCGGGTGGACGCGTGGCTGCCGCTGTACCTGCAGCTCGCCCTCACGCGTCTCAACAAGGCCTCCCTGCGCCACCTCAAGGACCTCCTCATGCAGGTCTGTGCTTGCCCTTGCTGCTGCTGCCCCTGCTGCTGCTCCTGCTGCCACTGCTGCTGCAGCTCGCCCTCTCTCGCCGCAACAAGGCCTCCCTTGGCCACTTCAAAGACCTCATGCAGGTCCGTTTGTGCTTCTGCCGCTGCCGCTGCTGCTGCTGCTGCTGCTGCCGCTGCTGCTGCTGTTGGTGCTCATATCTCCGCCTGTGGTACTTCCACAGGTGGCAATCATTTCATTTTGCGGTATGTACTCCTACATTCTTTTCCACTATCAATCCAATCCTATCGTTCGCACTCTTGCTCTCTCTCCATTCGTCTCTCCCCTGCCACAGGTGGTGGCCAATGGGCTGTACTACAACGCGCAGCTCACACTGCAGACGCTGGAGGGTATGGGGGCAACAGCAGGCGTGTTTCAGACGTGGCTCACCATGCTGCAGGCCAAGAGCCAGACCACCAGCAAGCGCCTTCACTTCAAGAGGTCAGAGCAAGAAATTGCACATGAACCTGTAAATTCAGTAGTTTTTTTTTTTCTTCCTTTCCGTTCTCTTTTCCATTTGTGTCTCTCCTGTCCTCCACATTGACCCAAACTACCCTTCCTCTCCCTTCTTTCCCTCCCGGTCCCCCGGCCACAGGCAGCACGACAAGAAGGTGTGCATTCTGGGGCTGGTGTCGCTGCTCTCCCTGCCCACGGCTGCGCTGCCGGCATCCGTGGCACCGCTGCAGGGCGAATTCGCCAAGGCCGTGCTGCAGCTGCTCGTGGCGTACAAGGAGCAACAGGAGGGTGAGTGACTGTCAGAGCACTTGGGATGAGTGAGTGAGAGCAAGGAATGTGACTTAAGCAAGATGGTAGGTGCTCTGTGTGAAGCTGCAAGGTTGTGCTGCCGATGTCGGGGTCACAAAGGGCTTGAAGCAGCGACGGACCAGCTGCCCAAATCAGTCCTTCCTCCCCCGCCCATTTGTTGCTGCCTCCCTCTCCCTCTCCCTGTGTGCGTGTGTGAGCAGCAGCGGAGTTGGAGTCAGAGGACGACGATGATGACGAGGAGGGCGAGGATGGCATGGGAGATGGTGGGGAGGAGGATGAGGATGAGGAGGAAGAGGAGGAGGAAGGGGAGGAGTCATCAGAGCTTAAGAAGGCCATTAAGAAGGTCAGTTTGACAGCCATGCTGCTTCCTCTCATGCCACGCCCTCCTCCTTCACTTGTGCAATTTACCTGAATTACTCCTAGTATGGGCGATGTGAAGGGGGAGTTGCAGTGTGCTGCCGGGTGACACCTTCCACTTTCATGTCATAGCTGCATGTTCCTTCCCTTCCCCACATGTGCTGGTGCTTGCCTGCCATGTGCCGTGCCCTGCCCTGCTATGTTCCTCATCGCTGTGTGCTCGGCTCTTTTTCTTGGCATGGCATGGCATGGCATGGCACGGCAGGCGCACAAGATGTTGGATGGGGATGAGGAGGAGGATGAGGACGATGAGGGCTTCTGGTCGGACGAGGATGAGATGCTCACGCCCATCGATGATGTTGACCCCTTCATCCACTTCTCGGACATCATGGCCGGTGAGAGAGCATCTACTTCATGGAGTGCATGTTGTGGCTCATACACACACACACAGCAAGGCAGATGAGATGCTCACACCCATCGATGACATCGATTTCTTCATCCCATTCTTCGATACCATGGGATGCCATGCTGTGGCCAGTGAGAGGCCACGCCACAGCCAGCAGTGTGTTGTACTGCCTGAAGCTCCCCTTCGTCCACTCGACCCTTCCATTCTCTGCGCCACCATGACAGCAAGCAGATTGCATGGCTCATGTTGCTCCTGGCTTCCCCCCTCGCACCTGACCCTCCCTCCCTCCTTAACCTCTTTCCCCCATCCATACCTTCTCCTCTGCCCCTGGCTGCCCTCCTGCCCCACTTTCGCCACCCCTCTCCACTCCGTGAATAAACCAGGGGTGCAAGCATCGGACCCGGCGCGGTTCAGCAGTCTGATGGGCTCTCTGGACTTTGCCCACCAGGCCATGGCGCACACAGTGGCACAGGTGGCGCAGCAGCAGCGAGACTCCAAGGCCAAGGAGGCTGCAGAGAAGGCCGCGGGAGGTGCTGCAGCCACGTAAAGAGGCTCTGAGCTGAGGGTTGGATGGGCTGCAGTCTCTCGTGATAAGAGAGGCTTGCTATGCCTTGGAGGCATTGGAAGCCCCAGTGGTCCCCCAGTGCAGCTGCTGAGCAGGCGGCAGTGTGTGGATCATAGCCATACGTGTGCTCTGGCCCACGCAAGGCACATGCAGCAGAGCTGCGAGCCGGTATTGTTTTTGCTTGTGACTCAAGAGTGGGCTGTCTTGTGTAGGTCAGATCAGGTGCACGTAGCTTATGCTCCGTCATATGAGCAGCAGGTAGCAGGCAGGTAGGCAATTCTCTTCGTTGTGTGTAGGCCTGGTAGGAAACGTTTTGTAGTGTGCCGGTAGTGTTGTAGAGTAAGCATAAAGATATCTTTATGCATTTGTGCTTATGGTCAGAGTCTATACCCAGTATAAAATTGTTGTGGCTCTCTTGTGAGTAGGGCCTAAGTTCCTACTACCGTATGTTCCAACCTGCATGTTACCTTCCCTACCCCCCTCTCCCTTCCCCAATTGACCTTGTCGAAATTCATTGCTAACAGATTTCACACAAAGCTGCACATATGGAGCACATATACAAAATGAATGCGTGGTGGTAACACTGAACTTCCTGCTTACAAGAAGCCACCACACTGCAGTGTGAGCAAGCACGTTACTTCATGTACTTGTTGAGGAAGCGGCGGTGGAAGTCGCTGCGAATGGTGTCGTTGATGAATCGCTTGGTGGGCTTCTGCTCGTCCTTGGCCTGGTTGCGGAACACCACGTCGTCGTCCCACCTGGTACATGGGAGTGTGTGGCAAGCAAGGGCAGTGAGAGGCGAGTGATACGGGTGCCAGGAAGGGGATGGCATTGGCTGCGAATATGGATGCATGCAAGGGAAAAGGCCCATGTTGCTGTGCTGCCATGCTGCCACTTGTTCACACCCCCTTCGCCCACACCCCCCTCGCCCACAACCCTGTCACCCACGCACCCCTGTCGCCCACGCACCCCTGTCACCCACGCACCCCTGTTACCCACGCACCCCTGTCACCCACGCACCCCTGTCACCCATGCACCCCTGTCACCCAAGCACCCCTGTTACCCACGCACCCCTGTCACCCACGCACCCCTGTCACCCACGCACCCCTGTCACCCACGCACCCCTGTCACCCACGCACCCCTGTCACCCACGCACCCCTGTCACCCACGCACCCCTGTTACCCACGCACCCCTGTCACCCACGCACCCCTGTCACCCATGCACCCCTGTCACCCACGCACCCCTGTTACCCACGCACCCCTGTCACCCACGCACCCGTCACCCATGCACCCCTGTCACCCACGCACCCCTGTCACCCACGCACCCCTGTCACCCACGCACCCCTGTCACCCACGCACCCCTGTCACCCACGCACCCCTGTCACCCACGCACCCCTGTTACCCACGCACCCCTGTCACCCACGCACCCCTGTCACCCACGCACCCCTGTCACCCACGCACCCCTGTCACCCACGCACCCCTGTTACCCACGCACCCCTGTCACCCACGCACCCCTGTCACCCATGCACCCCTGTCACCCACGCACCCCTGTCACCCACGCACCCCAGTCACCCACGCACCCCTGTCACCCACGCACCCCTGTCACCCACGCACCCCTGTCACCCACGCACCCCTGTTACCCACGCACCCCTGTCACCCACGCACCCCTGTCACCCACGCACCCCTGTCACCCATGCACCCCTGTCACCCACGCACCCCTGTCACCCACGCACCCCTGTCACCCACGCACCCCTGTCACCCACGCACCCCTGTCACCCACGCACCCCTGTCACCCACGCACCCCTGTACCCACGCACCCCTGTCACCCACGCACCCTTGTCACCCATGCACCCCTGTTACCCACGCACCCCTGTCACCCACGCACCCCTGTCACCCACGCACCCCTGTCACCCACGCACCCCTGTCACCCACGCACCCCTGTCACCCACGCACCCCTGTCACCCACGCACCCCTGTTACCCACGCACCCCTGTCACCCACGCACCCCTGTCACCCACGCACCCCTGTCACCCACGCACCCCTGTTACCCACGCACCCCTGTCACCCACGCACCCCTGTCACCCACGCACCCCTGTCACCCACGCACCCCTGTCACCCACGCACCCCTGTTACCCACGCACCCCTGTCACCCACGCACCCCTGTCACCCACGCACCCCTGTCACCCACGCACCCCTGTCACCCACGCACCCCTGTCACCCACGCACCCCTGTCACCCACGCACCCCTGTCACCCACGCACCCCTGTCACCCACGCACCCCTGTTACCCACGCACCCCTGTCACCCACGCACCCCTGTCACCCACGCACCCCTGTCACCCACGCACCCCTGTCACCCACGCACCCCTGTTACCCACGCACCCCTGTCACCCACGCACCCCTGTCACCCACGCACCCCTGTCACCCACGCACCCCTGTCACCCGCACCCCTGTCGCCCGCACCCCTGTCGCCCGCACCCCTGTCGCCCGCACCCCTGTCGCCCGCACCCCTGTCGCCCGCACCCCTGTCCAAGGATAAAAAATACGGTTGTCGTATTATACGGGCCGTTTTTTACGGTCGTATTTTATGGCCAATTTCCAAAAAATTCTGCCGTTTTTTTGTTGGAGATTTTTTTTCCAGACTTGGAACCGTCCACCTCTAGGGATGCGAACATTAGGAAAATTGCTAACTGTCAGGCCTAAAAAGCCGCTCCCCACAAAAACTCAGACTATTATAAGTGACCCCGCTTGTGCGGCGATTTCGCCTTCCGATCTGCGCGGATCGGCGATTTCGCCCGCCGATCTGCTGGTCGATTGGATCTCGCCAGGAACTGCCTTACTCCCCGTCAAAATTGTTGGAACTAAATGTCGCAACCAATTTGTCGCCAGTTACCACTTGTCACCGCTCTGAATCTACAAGACCCAACCCCCCTTACACTTTCACAGATCTCGACATCGGCCTCAACCCAACCCTAGATCTACAAGACCCAACTCCCCTTACATGTTCGTAAGGATCTTCCATGCCCTTATGGATGGCCACGGAATCTGTCAGAGCTTCCGTGGGGATGTTCCTGAGCCCCACCGAAACTCCCCTAAGTATTATGCGAACGTGACAGCCATAACCAAGGTCTAGGAATACTTTCATAAATCTCGGTTTCAAAATTTTGGCCGTAAAAAACGACCGTATTTTTGAACGAACCTAAAAATGCAAGGTCTGACCGTATTTTACGTTTAATACGACCGTAAAATACGATACCGTATTTTACGGTAAATTTTTCAAAAATTCGGTCGTATTTTTGAACCTTGCCCCTGTCGCCCGCACCCCTGGCCCGTCCTCACCTGCGCTTGACAGCAAAGGCGGAGCCCCCAGCAGCCATGATGGGGTTGCCGCGTGCCATCTCCTTCTCTCTCGCCTTCGCCTCCTGCTCCGCCTGCTCCTTCTCCTGCTCACATGACACCACATGGGCGCGCAGAGGGCGGGCAGCAGAGCAGGGAGGAGAGGCGAACCAGAGATAAAGAGGGCAGGGTACTTGACACATTCAATGCAAGCGCAAGAAGCCTATGGGTGTGCATTCAAGTGCACCCTTCGTGAACTCTGAAAATGATTCATGGCAGGGCATGGCATGCAGGTGCGGCGGACACACATGTACAGCACACACAACCACATAGGCGACCACATGGCGGACCGCATGGGACGCCACATACCTTGCGCAGCTTCTCCTCGGCTCGCTCCTTCTTGATTCTCTCCAGCTCAGCAAGCAACTCCATGGTGTCATCCTCGTCATCGTCCTCGTCATCATCGTCATCATCCTCGTCATCACCCCCGCCTCCCCGCCTGTCCTCCCCATCGGAGTCGTCTGCATCCGCTGCTCGGGGTATCAACCGCTCCTCCACCTCCTTCCGCCCTCCCAACGCCCCCCCACCTGCATCCATGCACGCATGCACACATGCCATGTAACCATGCACCCATGCACCATGCAGCCATGTAACCATCCATGCATCACGTACCCTCGCATCCATCACGCGACCATGCATGCATACACAAAGCGTTCTCAGCACCTATGGGAAACACGGCACATGCACAGAAGCGACACGCAGAAGCACTGATCGCCCGACCCGCCACCAAACCGCACTGCTGCGCACAGGCCCGCGGATGTTACCTGGTAACAACAAGCCAGAGGTTCGTTTGCGGTCGTCGGTGCGCAGCTGCTGCTCCCTGTCCTTTGCGGCGAAGTGCCGCCTCTCACGCTCCTCCAGCTCCCCCCGCAGGTCCCGCCGCTTCACCTCCTCCTTCGTCACCTGCCCCTCCCTCCTGCTCCACCGCACGCGAGTATGCGGCCACGTGCCATGCACGAACACACGCCATGTTTGGACACAAACGGTTAATTAGCGGATATGAAGCGAGCTGCCTGACGGTATCTTTTACAGGGTACCTAATATCGCAATAAAAATGCCTACTGAGGTTCCGACGCGCAACTAGTTAGCGACTCGTGAGAGTCGCAACGTCTCAACCGGAATGAATCTGGCGCGGCCTCAGCACGCTAGAGCTTGAATTAGAGATGCCTCTAAGCCCCGCACCTGGGTTTGAGGCTCGTGTGGCTGGCGACATCTCTAGCGGAGTACTTCTGACTCGGCCCGAATATGCGCGACCCGCCCTGCTCCTCGCCTCCCTTTGCCGGCGCCCATGTCGGCCGCGCTGCCGTCGTCATCGCGACGTGTACGACGCTCGCGACTTACACGAAGCTTGCGACTTAACAAAGCCCTTGCGACAGCGATGACGTTCGCAATTTACGCAGCGCTGGAGAGAAACGTGTACCTATCTCTGAACCGCGTAGAAACGATCAACGCCCAAGCTTTACAACTGAACGGGATGATGAAGGCTGCAGCTGAGAACCTAGCAGCTTCAAGAATCACACTACCCTCGGCCGTGTCGCGCTGGAAGCTGCGTGCACGAGTTTCTCACTGCAAAATCCCTTCGGTTTGTCAGTTATGGCAGTTTTTATGGCTTCTTTCTCTCCCTCCATCCCCTCGCCTCGCCACCAGCCTCCTCAGGAAACCTAGAATTTGGCTCGGGGGTGTAAACTGGGGTATGGGCTTCCCTCTATAGCGCGTAGTTGCTCTCGCAAACAAAGATGTACAAATATTATTCCGGTGGTATAATAATACCACCATTCATATTATTGGAGTACACATAGACTTGATGCATCCAGACAAATACGCCAAAAGGGTATATGCCTCAATTGTTTGCAACCCTACCATATCCCTTTGATACTAAGCATTTGCCTCTATCCAATATTTAATCTACTCCCAACACCTTACTGTTGTGTTGCTTAGCGCCGACAACACCAAATAAAGCACCATTTTAACCACGCGTGGCAGTTAAGAAGCCTTCCAACCTGGAGGCACCTCACGCACCGCACCGCTCGGCACGTCACCGCACCTCTTCCACGGCCACGCACACGAGCCTGTGGCCAAGCTTCCAGTCCATGTGCTGATGCTCCACACAGCAGTAGAAGGCCCGGTGGCACCGCTCGCACGCCACCTCCGCCTTGCTCGACCCACACGCCTGACACGCCTTGCGACCCGCGAAATCAGGGGGAGGTAGATTCAGGGGAGGCACCGCTTGTACGAGTATCGGCCCTGGTACTACTCCCCGTGTCCCCCCTCCTGCTCCTCCTCCCCTGGATCCACCCCCCCGGCTACTGCTGCTGACGCTGCTGCCGAAACTTGAGCTGCTTGTGATTGGTCGAGGGCTGCGGTGGGGGCTGCTGCCACGGTGCGGTGACCTGGCGGTCTGATGGTGCCGGTGCTGCTGATGTGGCAGCTGATGTGGCGTGTGCGAGTGGTGGGGGCTGGTGGAGGAGGGGCGGGTGATGGAGAAGGACTTGGAGCGTTGGAGGGGGGCCAGGGGGGAGGGGGAGGCGAGGGCGGGGACGGGGTGGGCGGCAACTGGGACGGGGTCGAGGTGGTTGGATGGCAGGGTGAGAGCCGCTGATGCTAGGTGCTTCTCCAAGGCTGCTCTGCAGGCGTTGAGAGGGAAATTGCTGCAGGGTGGAACATGGTGGGGAGGGGAGGGGAGGATAGCGAGGAGTTTGATGGGTGGGGGTGTGGGATGGTGGTACATTGGATCAATGAGAATGATGTTAAATGAGCATGGCTCTGGTCATTGGAGAAAATGCAGCAGGCAAGCAAACATAGGCACTCACGTGGGGTCAAACAAGTAAAGGCACTCACGTGGGGTCAAACGAGTCAAGGCACTCACGTGGGGTCAAACGAGTCAAGGCACGTGAGGTCAAACGAGTCTCACGTGGGGTCAAACGAGTCAAGGCACTCACGTGGGGTCAAACGAGTCAAGGCACTCACGTGGGGTCAAACGAGTCAGGGCACTCGCGTGGGGTCAAACGAGTCAAGGCACTCACGTGGGGTCAAACGAGTCAAGGTGACTCTTATTAGCGGCCCGGAGCACCCGTGTGCATGCAGCATCTCGCTTGCTGCCATGGCTGCTGCGCACTCTCTCCAGCAGCCGCAGGTATCCCCCCATTCCCCCCACGTCCTCTGGGGGACATGCCCCCCACCCATCCACCACCTCCGCTCTCAGCTGTGTGCGCCAAACAGGGGGGTGGGTGAAGCAAGGCAGGGAGAGCAAGGAGACGGCGATCGGGGGGTGGTAGGGCGAGGAGGGTCAGTAGTGGCAAGAGCAGACAAACGTCGCAGACAGAGTAGATGGAAAACAATATAATCATAGGCCAGAATTTCGAGCACATGGGAATGAGATACAGGTCAAAGTGTTTCAGATTACAACCGGAAATGATAGGAATTCCAGGGGGGAATGAATCAGAGGAAACGGGGAGGGGAAGAGAAGGGCACTGACAGGGCGGTGTGGCATGCCGGGTGTGGCGTGCAGCAGCACAATCTCGTGCTCCCAGCGGTCTGTGAGGTCATACACATACGCCATGCGGTCGCCCTCCTGTGCCATGGGGCAAGACGTGGGATGGTGCAGGCATGGGGTGGTGCAGGCATGGGGTGGTGCAGGCATGCGGTGGTGCAGGCATGCGGTGGTGCAGGCATGGGGTGGTGCAGGCATGGGGTGGTGCATGCATGGGGTGGTGCAGGCATGGGGTGGTGCAGGCATGGGGTGGTGCATGCACGGTATGCAAGAGGAAATCTGGGATGCAAGCTCCATAGGGAGTGGATGCTGCACGCACCTACCAGCATGTCGATTGCCGTCCTGACATGCAAGCTGATTGGTTCCCCCTTCTTCCACCCTCTGCTGCTCACCTTGACGAGCATCTCCCCCAGCAGCACACAGTTGTCGTCCGCCAAGCCCTGCCCCAGCATGCGCGCCAGGGCGAAGTCAGGTGCGGCAGACAGGGTCGGCCCGAACCACACGCCGGGGCACGGGCCTGAGGAGGACCGGAACTTGTAGGCGTGATGGTCCCTGTGGAGGACGGGGGATGGGCATGGGCATGAGGGGTTGGTAATGAGTATGCGGGATGGACTGGGATTGAGCAACAATGGGCACCTGAGCACCTGAGGTCGCATCTGAGCACCTGAGAATGCACCTGAACACCTGGGGACGCACCTGGCCCAGCCCATGGAGAGGCGCAGCACGTGCTTGTGGAACTGGCGGAGCGTCATGTGCCCCGACACCTCCATGCGCCTGATGGCGCAGTGCCACGGGTTGGGGTGGGATGGCGTGGGGTGGGGTGGGGTGGGGTGGGGTGGGGTGAGATGGGATGATATGGCCGAACATGGAATGTAGCGTCATGTGCCCTGACGCCTGATGCGTGCATGGCGTGGCATGGCATGACATCGGATGCCATGGATGGGATTAGATCACGTGTGAGCAAGAGGAGAGAGCGGCAGCATCCCTTGTGATTATAAAAAATGAAGCAGCCATCACCAAACCTGCCTCCTCCCCCTTCTCACCTCCAGATGGGCGGGTCGATTTGTCTCATTCGCACGTGCAGCAGTAGTGACTGCGCCACCCCTGCGCCCATCTGCTCCCCCTGCTGCGCCCTCACGCGCCGCATCGCCGCCATAGCGCCCGCCGCCGCCATCTCTGCTTTCGTCTTCAGCCGGTTCTCACGCTGCAAAAAACGAGCAAGGGGGCGAGGCGGACGCGGAAGAGAACAGGAATGGTTGGATAAGGACGGGATTTCCTAGGCATTATTCAAGGAAGTAAGGCCTATTGACAACATGTCGTTCCAGTTGGTGCCTGTTGCTCTCACCCGTCGTTCAAACTCGAGCTTAAGAATCTTGATGTTGATTGATCCCAAAGGCGCCTCGAACGGCGCCTCCTCTTTCGCCTTGAACCGCACGTTCGCGTCGTGATGCTCCGTACTGACGTCAGCGGATCCCAGCGCCAGCTGCCTCTCGTCCCACGCGCTGAAGCCTCCGCCCGCGCCCGCGCCGCCCTCTCCCCCCGCCATTCCCTCGCCTGGCGGAGAGTACTGCGCGGGGAGGGTGTTGCAGCGGCTCATCACGACCATTCCCCCCGCCGCGCCCAGCTTCTCCCCTTCCCCGTGCGCGCTCGACCGCGCGCCTTGGCGGAACGCGGCGGCGGACGCGGAGCGCACGATGGGCATGAGCGGCGTGCCGGGCGTGCGCAGGGAGGAGGAGGAGGAGCAGGCGGAGAGGGGACGAGGGGAGGAGTGCGGCGGGGGGGAGGGGGAGGAGGAGGCGGAAGTTCCGCGCCCAGGGGAAGGGGAAGAGCCCCAGGGGAGCGCAAGAATGGGCGCGGCGGAAGGGGGCGCGGGGAGAGCTAGGAGCGGGGAGCCAGGCGGGATGGGGTGGGCGAGGGGAAGGGAGCGCGCAGGGGCGCGCGGGGGCGGCGGACGGCGCACTTTGGGCGCAACGATGGTGGCCTCGTAGACCGCTCCGAACATGGTCGTGCTGCGGGGAGCGGCGGGGAGTGGGGGAAGGAGAGGGAAAAAAAGGGGCCAGGTTGTTTGTGAGCGGAAAGAAGCATTTCCAAATTCACCGTGGTGCACTCAGCGCATCTCCCCAGCTCCCCAAATCCCCTCGCGCAACACTCACATGCCCCCTTGCGCTTCACTCACATGGGCGTGCCGCAGAAGCCGCCGCCCGCGAAGACGGCGCCGTCGTTGCGCTGCACGAGCCAGAAGTGCGCGCCGGCGCGGAAGTCGTCGCCCTTGGCGGCGAGCGGCGACCAGATGCCCAGGTCGTGGTGCCACAGCCACGCGTCGCCGTAGTACCGGCAGCCGTCGCGGTGAATCGCACCTGGGAGAGGAGGGGGGGAGTGCGGGGGCCGTGCCGAGCAGCGGGGAGCGTCAGTGAGTGGGGCGGCAAACAGAAGGCTTGACGAGAAGCGGGGAAGGGCGCGGACGCGCGGGATGAGGAGCATTGAGGAGGCCCGCAGCACGGGGGAAGCGCCTTACCTTCATAGTACCCGCCCACGCACAGCGTCGCCGCGTAATCCGGCAGCGACAGGAACGCCGCCTCCGACCGCGCCGCGGGCACGCGCGGCCCGAGCAGCGGCACGGGCTGCCATCGGCGCTCGCCCAGCAGGAGGCGATCGACGGTGGCGGTCGACTCGTCCATGATGAGCCCGGATCGCGGCACGAGCGTCTTGCGGCTTCCAAAGAACGACATGATCTCAACCAACTCACTCCTGCCGCCCTCCCTGCAACTCGCGACGCCCGCGCACGTGCCCACGCCGCGGTCCTGATACGCCTTCGGGAGGTAGTCCCCCTGCCACGTGTCGCGCCGCCATTCGCCCGTCTCGAAGTCGAACTCGTACAGGTGCTGCCGGTTAGCGTGCCGCTCGAGCGGCGGCCGGCCGACAACGAAGCCGCCCCACACGAGCAGCCGACCGTCAACGACGCACACGCTGTGCTGCACCAATCCCGGCGGCGCCTGGCCCCGCGTCGCCAGCTCCTGACCCGCCAAGTTAGCGGGATGCTCGTCGGAGCGTTGCTCTGATTCGTCGTCGGTCGACCCGGCCGGCAGCCCCGGCGCAGCCGGCACGGGCTCCCAGTCCATGGTCACCAGATCGAGCCGCCACATGTCGAAATCCGTCGAGTGGCCGCCGCCGCAGACGTACATGCAGTCGCCGTGGACCACGGCGCGGTGGCCGGCGCGCGCGGCGGGGCGCAGGCCGGGGATGTGGACGAGCAGCCACTCGGACTTGTACGTATCGAAGATGTGGAGGTCGTTGGGCAGCAGGTTGTGGCTGCGGTCCGTGCCGCCGAACAGAATCACCTGCCCGCGCCACTCCACCGCCGACATCTGCGCGCCGAGCGGCGGTTTGCCCTTGGCGGGAACTTTCTTCCACTGAATCGCCAGCTCTCTCTCGCCAATCAGCTGCCGTCGCACGCGCTCCACCTCCGTCGCCTCCTCCGTGGGAATCTCGCCGCTCGGCCGCTCATCCAGCGCGCGCTGCACGGACGCCACGTGGCACGCGAGCGCGCCGCGAAGGTCGCCGCATTCCTCGAGAACCTCCTCGATGTGCAGCAGCGTCTGGCCCGCGCAAAAGTCGGACGCCAGTGCCGCGTGGCAGTCGCGTATCGCCTCCTCGTTCCTGCGCGACGGGTGGGGGGAATCACATGGCCAAGAAGGGCATTTTGAGGGAGAGATGAAGTGCGCGATCTGCGCAAGTGGGCTGCCAAGAGTCGACGACAAGGCCTTGTGCGACAGATCAAAGCACTCTTAGCGGTATGACGGAGAAACAAGGAATGCGGCTGCGATCCGTAAAGGGAGCAGATTAGCGCGGCGGTAGCAACACCACGAGGTGACGATCCATGCTGTGATTTGAGTTTATCTTATCCAAGTCGTGGCGCCTGATCTCCGGTCAGCCTCTTTAGGAGGTCGACCAGGAAAGATTCAAAAGGGGGCAAGATGTTATAGTTCAGAGAGTTGTCGATCCATCTACGCGGAAACCCGCTGACTCGTCGCGGCGCGATGAACCAGCTCTTCGGTTCTAGGACCCATGTACGAGGTATCGACGACGTGCACGGACCTGCCCAGGTAGCGGAAGCACATGGCACGGTTGGCGAGGAGCACGGCCTGCAGCGACCGCTTCGTCGCGTCGTCGCGCCCCGCCTCGCGCAGCAGCGCCAGCATCGCCTCCCCGTAGCTCTCCGCCGCCGCCGCGTACTCCTTCCTCCGGTACAGCTCCTGCCCCTCCCGCCGCGCCTTCTCGTAGCTGCGCCCGCCGGTGAGCGACGGCCGTCGCGAGGATTGCATGGATCGCGCATCGTCGCAGAAGTCGCTGCTCGAGGAGCGCGCGACAAGATACTTGGAATGTTCAGCGGAGGAGCCTTTGGGGACAGCATCAGGCGCATCTGAACTGGACGGCTCCTCTTCCACACGATGCAGCTTCAGCCGAATTCCAGCCGCTACCTGCTGCCCAGAAATTCCTGGCGATGATTCGCATGGCGAAGTTGGTGCAGCATCAGCTACGGCTGCTGCCACAAGACTTCGCTCGGCGTGCTCTAGTGATCGCTCTAGCGGCGCCGCTGCTAGATCCTGCGCGTATTGCACTCGCCGGCCGTCGTCGGTTTCGGGACGGTCATTCTGCGCGCGATGAATATGTGGGACAGCGACTGCTGGCGCACCTGTGGCTGTATGAATCTCTACTCCTGCAACCTGTCCACTTCCAGCTCTCGCGACGCCATTCCTACCATCGCTACGTGGATGTTCCGCGGTGGGCGCTGGGTGAGCGGCGAGATCACCCACGGGATGCACGGTGGACTGCCTCTTGCTCTTGGTCGATTTCTGTTTGCCTAAGAGGCGAAGCGTGAAGCAGCTACTGCGCGGCTGACTCGTTGGACCTACCGCCATGGATCCTCCCAATACCACAAAGAAGAAGAATTTACGCCTGCTATATCGTTCGTCACGCTTTACCTCTAAGATGCTTCCTACCTGCTAACAGCACAACTTGCAACAACGAGCCTCCGCATAGCCTACCAAGCGCTTCCTTGCTGCTGGTGGGAGAGGTCAAACTTCCATCATAACCGCTTGTATACTCGTTGCTGGCTTTCACGAATTCAACCAGGCCTGGGCGGGGACAACAAGAGCAGGTCGTGGTGTGGAAGCAATGGTATGGGATGGGATGGGAAGAGTGGTGAAGGGAGAGGCGAGGAATCAACGGGTGAATGGGCACAGTCAAATCTCCCACACCCCACGGCCCAAGGCTCACAACTCATGGCCACTGCTCCCGAAATGTTCGACTCTCAAATTGTTCGCTTCGGGAATTGCCGCGGAGCCGCCCGCGCGTCGGAGGTGAGGGGTGCGAGCGAGCCATCGCAAATGGCGGCACATGTTGACCCACCCCTCGTTAGCAGAATCTGCGAGAATGACGACCTTCTTTGCGAAAGATCCATGTGTTACCAGCGACCACGTTCAGCACATTTCCTCGTTTCAAGGCACCCAGAATCACGGAGCCTGACGAACCGCCAAGCATAGAAGACCACGTTGGCGGGACAATGACGAGCATGACTTTTTTACCCTGCCGCTCAAACATAACCATTTCTCCTTGCATATGCTACACTTAGCAACGACTATATTTCTACAAAGTGAGGTTAATGTATATATACTCTGTATGGCAGGACGTAAATTACTAAAAACGGCTTTCTTCCACATGGAATTCTAATCGAGACTACCAGTTACCATAATAACTATGTATGTACCGTGAGCAAAATGTTGGAAACAATCAGGCTTAAGCGCTTCTATCGTGTCGAAACACCAAGGCACAAGCGAAGCAGATCATATCGAGGCACCAGCGAGTCAACCCTCGGAGGTTGAAGTAACTGCTGGAGGTTACGCGAAGGTCAAAGGTCAGCGACCTTTGACTTGACAAAAGCAGCGCGACGGCAAGGACACACAACTGACTTGATATTGAGCAGTTGCCCGAGTCGCACTGTATCGAACCGCAACAGTAAAAACAGTTATCATTCGAATCCCTTCGTATTCCTTGTACTCTTATATAAAAGTCTGTATTTGCATGCTTTAATTAACTTACTTTGCCCTCACATACCAGCGCAAGGTGGTTCAGAATCTTCTCTTAAAACGCTTCCGCTATTACATTACTTTACCTAGAGTTTCATCCTACCAAAGATCCAAAGGGGCACTCAGCCCTACATGGTATGAGAGCAGGTTAGGGTAAAACTCTATTACTCCTTCAACTACACCAAGAGACATGTCTACCAGAAAGGAGAGAAGCTCCTCCAACGGCTCTCCTGGTACCACTCCTACTCCACCTCCTGCCTCTGGTCTACAGACAGAGGAAGGCACAACAACAAGACCGGCCGCTGGGTCTACTGAAACACCCGCAAACCAAGGCGCGGGCTTCGATCCAAGCATGATGGAGAAATTCTTCTCCTTCATGTCCTTCTACGAGCAGCACCAGCAAGGAGTACCTGCGACATCAAACAACAGCAACAACAACGTGACGCCCATGAGTCTCGATGGCTCATCCTACGCGCGCGGAAATCAACAACAACAACCTACCTTCGCTACGTACGAGCCCCAGCGCGGCTCCGTCAGCTTCATGCCACAACCACAACCTGCACCGGGATAAGAAAGAACGTTGGACGCACTACAAGTTCAGTCGCAGTTCACGCACGTCTTAAAACTGCAAACGACAAAACCCTTCGACGAGAAGGACTTCTTTACCTGGTCATTCGAATTCGAGCTGATGATGGAAGGAGCGCAAATTCTCGGCTTCTTCGACGGGTCCCTGCCATACCCAACAAACGGCACACAGTATGAGAAGCAGCAGTACACTTATCAATCAATGATGGTGAACACGATACTACTGAGGAACATCACTTCGACTCAACAGCAGAACATAAGGACTTACCGAGGATATGGTAACTCCGCGGAGCTCGAGTACAATCACTTGAAGAACCTGTATCAAGCAACAGACAGCGTAAACCAAAGTCGGTTAATGGCGCAGTTGACAACAATCGAGATGAAACCAGGCGAGAAGGGAATGACGTATATCAGTCGTTGCCCCGAGCTGCGCGACAAGCTTCTTCGATGTGGAGGATCGATTTCAGAAGACGCCTTCGTCACGTTCGTCATCGGCGGTCTTGGTCCTCACTGGCGCTCCACTCGCGCCATACTACGAGCATACGGGAGAATCTCCGAAGCAGCACGCTGCGTCGAAATCCATGCTGAGCAGCAGGGCATGGACCTGCAAGAAGAACGACACAAGAAAAAGGCATCAGTACCCGAATTCGCGTTCCACACTCAGCGACGCTACAACTACAACAACAACAACCGGCAGCAACAACCGAAGCCAGTACCTCCGTTCTGCCACATCTGCAAGACTTCAGGCTATCCTCGTACACACTGCCCAAATCGACAACAGTCAACGTCGCCGCAACGCCAACTTCGTCCTTCAAGCGGTCAAGTTGCCTCAACACAAGCAAGTCCGACAACCTCGGTACAAGTGTCAACAACATCGACAAGACAACCTGCAAAAGAAGCAAGAAACATCGTCAGCTGCATGGCAAGGCTAAGCGACTCCTGCGTAACTGAGTCACCACCACATTACTCACCAGAAGAACAACTCGACAACAGCACGCCTCGTCGCGAGTCACTTCAACCGAACCCGACGTACGCCGCCATCGCTCAAAGCGAGCCGTCCGGGAAAGATACGTGGTTCTTGGACAGTTGCTGCGGACAGCACATGTGCTCCTCGGGACGCTTCGTTCAACGTGAGCATCGACTTCAACGAGAGGTCGTCATCACAGTCTGTCAGAACATTATAGCTTATACTTTTGTGTAGGCTGTAGTGGGGTATCCCACAAGGGGTACAACCCAATTAGGGTTAGTACTTCTACCCACTTCATTCATAGTTCATTCATTCTCGTTTCTATTTTCACATGGTATCGAGCAGGTTCCCTCGTGGGAACTGTTCTTAGGGCCAACCACAATCATTTTTTTTTTCCTGCCCGGAGCGCGCCTTGCTTAGGCCTCCTTCGGCCCCGTCGCGTCGCACCTAGCGACCTCCCTTCCGCTGCCCCTAGCGGCCCGTCGCCACCCTACGTAGCCCGGAGCCGCCCCTTCGCCGCGCGTCCCGGTCCGTCGACGCCTGTGCGCCGCCCGTCCCGGCCCCGCGCCGCTTTCCCGGCCCGTCGTCGCCCGTGCGCTGCCCACCCCAGCCCGTCGCCGCCCGCCTCGGTTCGTCGCCGTCCGTGCGCCGCCCGTACCGGCCCCGTGCCGCTTTACCGGCTCGTTGCCGCCCGTACGCCGCCCGTACCGGCCCATCGCCGCCCTTCGCGGCGTCGCGTACCGCCCCTACCCGCGGCTCCGCCGCCCTACCTGCGGCCCTGCCGCCCTACCTGCAGCTCCGCCGCCCTACCCTACCTGCGGCCCTGCCGCCCTACCTGCGGTTCCGCCGCCCTACCCTACCTGCGGCCCCGCCGCCCTACCCTACCTGCGGCCCCGCCGCCCTACTCAGCGGCCTCGCCGCCTCACTCGGCGGCCCCGCCACCTTACCTGCGGCCCCGCCGCCTCACTCTCAGCCCCGTCACCTACTACAGCGCCGCCCACCACCCGAGCCGCCCGAGCCGTCTCGCCTGGCCGAGCAGCCCACCGCCGCGCCGCCCTACAGCAGCACATCCGAGCCGCCCGGCGGCAGAGCAGCCGAGCCGCCCAGCAGCCGAGCCGCCCAGCAGCCGAACCGCCCAGCAGCCGAGCCGCCCAGCAGCCGAGCCGCACAGCAGCAGAGCTGCCGAGCCGCCGAGCCGCCCAGCAACCGAGCCGCCGAGCAGCCGAGCCGCCCTACTTACGGGCCGCCCGACCTGCCCAGTCTGGTGAGCACAGCCCCTTTGTCACTGCACTGCCCTCACCCTACTGTTTGCACTGCTAGTCGTCTAGGGTCACGACTACCCCTAGTGTCCTCGCCTATGACGCTGAGGGTAGGGCCATTGACTTTGAGGTCTGGGTAGATGACCTGCAGCTGTTCTTACAGTTAAAACAAAAGCAGATGGCACAATTGAGAAGTTCAAAGCACGCTGGGTCGTGTGTGGATTCGATCAGGAGCACGGACGGGACTTCACCGAGACATTCGCCCCGGTTAGCCGACATACCTCACTTCGAATCCTCCTCGCGATCGCCGCCATGAAGAAAAAGAAGCTACGGCAAATCGACGTCGCCAACGCATTCCTATACGCACCTGTTGATGCCGAAATCTTTGTTGAGTTACCACACAGCTCCCACGGAGAAACCAACCA